CCACTGTCAAACTACTAAAAACCAAAGACGACAAAGAAAATCTTGAAAGCAGCCATCAAAGAGTAACAATCAGACTAATACCTGATTTCTCAATAGGAATGATGGAAGCCAAAACAGTAAAATTACATAAATCTTCAATGAAAGATAAGCTGCCATTCTAGAATTTTGTATTTGCAAAAATATCCTTCAAACAGGAAGGCAGTATAAAGACATTTACAGAAAATCAAGAATTGAGGGAATTTGTAGTAGACCTACCGTTAAAGGGGTTTATTCAGGCAAACAGAAAATTATTACAGTTAGTAATACAGAAACGTAAGAAGGAATGAAAAGCAACAGAGCAGGTAAATATATGTGTTTAAAGCTAAATGAACATTGACCATGCAAAATAGTAATAACAACACAAAGGAAGAGAAGTTAAATTACTGTAAGATCCTAGTGTTGTCTAGGAAATGGTAAAAGTACTCATTTATTTTAGGTACTAATAAATCAAGGTTGCATCCTGTAATTTTCAGGGTACCCACTATAGAAATAAAATTAAAGAATGTATAATTAATAAGCTAAAAGAAAAATGGAATATAAAATTGTTTAATAATCCAAAAAGAAGACAACAAAGGGAAAAAAAAGAACATAAAACAGGTAGGACAAATAGAAAGTGAATAGTAAGATGGTAGATATAAACTCAAATACATCAATAACTATGTTAAATATTAATGGAAATACTCAAAAGACAAAGATTATCAAACTGGGTTTTTTTTTTTTTTTAAACCTACTTGTTTAAAAGGATTATAACCACCTTGGAAAAGTGTTTGGCAGTATCTGCCAGAGCTGGACACATGTACACTCTATGGCCCAGCAATCTACTTCTAGAAATATACCCACAAGAAAGCATGCATTTGTGCACCAAAACATGTGCAGAGGATATTTATAGCATCATATATTGTCATGGCCACGAACTAGAAACTACCCAAACATTCATCAACAGAATGAATAAATTCATACAATACTATATAGCAATGAGAAAGAACCTACAGCTACATGCTACAACATAAATAAATCTCATAAAAGTAATGTTTATCAAAAGAAACCAGACACAAAAGAGTACATACTGTATGTGTTCATTACTATAGAGTTCAAAAACTGACAGAACTAGTCTGTGGTGTTAGAAGTTAGGTGTGATTACCTTTGGAAGTGAGTGGACCAAACGGGTTTGGTTAATGGTCTGTTTCTTCATCTCACCGATGATTACATGGGTATGTTCATTCTCTGCAGATTCACCAAGATAGGTATGTATGATTTGCACATTGTATATTGTATTTCAATAAAAAGTTTAATTTTTAAAAAGTATAGTCTCTCGGTATCTTCAGGGGACTGGTACCAGGACCCTCTGTGGATATCAAAATCCGAGGATGCTCAAGTACCTTATATAAAGTGGCGTAGTACAGTCGGCCCTCTGTATCCGAGGGTTCCACATCCACAGATACCGAGGGCCAACTGTACCAGTAACGGTGTTAGAATTGGCAGCAAGGTCAATCCAGTTCTATTCCAGGGTATAAGAAACAGCATGCTTCTAGAAGGAAAAGATGAATACATTGCAAAGGGAGTGTTTGAGGATGCTGAAGGGATGGTAAATTAAGCCATTTAAGGATGTAGAGATAGGATTCATTCATTCATTTAGCAAAATATTTTGGTCCCTATTATAGTCCAAGGTGCTGTCTGAGGTGTTGGGGATTCAAAAATAAGGCTCAGCCCCTATTTTCAGAGAGGTCACTGTCTCTAGAGAAGGGTGCCGAGGATGGTAGAGTTAATAAAAGCTACAATATTTTGAGCACCTTCCTTGTACTAGGCACTGTGCTGTGCAGTTTTGTTGCTTCTTAATGTTCACAACAACAATCCAATGAGGTTGTTATCCCTTTTTGCCTGAGGAAACACAGGAAATAAGTTGTCCAAGGTCTCACCACCAAGATAAAAATACAGGTCTGTCTGACTTCAAAGTTGTGTTCCTTCTGCTACTTTACATGGCCATTGGATGGTGACTTCGAAGAGAAAGAACTATGTGATGAAATTACAAGCGGAAGTTAAAATACATTACAGTGGTGGTGTCTTAGAGAAAGTGGTGTAGATAGATGGCCTGAATCTCAAAGGATGAGCAGTGGGTAATGTTTGATGGTCTGGAAGTGGAAACGGAGGAATAAAAGTCTTTTCTTCTGAAAAGAACGCAGCAGAGGTGTACAGAGAAACCGAGATGGCTGAGTACTGCTCCTCAGGAAGAGGATCTAAGGGTTTGCTCCACATACAGACTTTCAACCAAGCACCTTGCTTTCAGGCCCTTCCTGAGCCTTCTTCCTACAAAATGCCTTTCCAATTCCTGAACTTTTCTAGACTTCCTTGCTTTTTTTAAATTTAATTTAATTTTATTATTTTTTAAATTTTTATTGGAGTATAGTTGATTTACAATGTTGTTTGTTATTTTATTTATTTATTTATTTATTTTTTTTGCGGTACGTGGGCCTCTCACTGTTGTGGCCTCTCCCGTTGCGGAGTACAGGCTCCGGACGCGCGGGCTCAGCGGCCATGGCTCACGGGCCCAGCCGCTCTGCGGCATGTGGGATCCTCCCGGACCGGGGCACGAACCTGTGTCCCCTGCATTGGCAGGCGGGTTCTCAACCACTGTGCCACTAGGGAAGCCCTGTTGTTTGTTATTATGTTAGTTTCAGGTGTACAGCAAAGAGAATCAGTTATACATATACATATATCCACTCTTTTTTTTTATTCTTTTCCCATATAGGCCATTACAGAGTATTGAGTAGAGTTCTGTGTTTTACAGCAGGTCCTTATTAGTTATCTGTTTTATATATAGTAGTGTATATATATATATATATCAATCCCAGTCTTCCAATTTATCCCTCCCCCCATTACGCCCTGGTAACCGTAAGTTTATTTTCTATGTCTGTAACTCTATTTGTTGTGTAGATAAGTTCATTTGTATCCTTTTTTTAGATTCCACGTATAAGTGATACATGCCTTGCTTTTTAAACATTGGAATCATACTGCAGATATATTTTTATAGTGAGATTTTTAAAAATTAATGGTTTATTGTGAGCATTTTCCCAAAGCAAAGTGCTTGTTGTTAAAACATCCCTATCCAACTTTAAGCCACCATAATGAGAAAGTTCTAGATTCCTACCGGAGTTCAAACCGAGGTAGTCACACGTGTAAGACAAGAATTTATACACAGCAGGAAGGAAAAAAAAAAAAGAACCTATATACAAAATAAATTGTATCTTGGGATGCCTACCCTCAGGCTAGTACATCTTGGATGGTTTAATCACTAAATGTAGTAGTATGAGGTCAGAGAAAAACTCATGACTCACAAATTGAGATAATTTTAAGTAGCCCATTGTGTTAATTAGGTTATTGATTCAGCTGCTATAACAGTGACCTGAATTATCAATGGCTTAACAAGATCGAAGTTTATTTTCTCTCTCTTTACAACCTGAGTGTGATATGTTGGCTTCACTTAGGATCCTTTTATCTTGTTGCTGTTATTCCTAGGCTGTTTCCATTGTTTACATGATTGATTGAAGATACCTAGCTACATTTTAGCCAGAGGGAAAGA